CACGTAAGAAAATTAAATACGACTACACTACAGCTTAAAAAATGAACCCTCTTAGATCAACAACTTCTCAAAGCATGAACGGACAGAATTATTTTCCAGTGTTTTTCCTGCCGTAATGTTATTTATTCTTCAGTTTCACAGATGAGCAGGATTCATGAATCCCCTATCCTAAACCCTGCTAGGTGAAGTGCAAGGAGGGAGGGGTCCCACTAGCTGTGTGACGTCACAGAGGAGTAATCGAGCGCCCCGGGGGTCACTCGGTCCTGTTCTGTTTTTAGCCTTGACGGATGCACCGGTGCACTCGCTGCATTTTTCATCACCGCTCCATTGTCACACCCTCCAATTCATCCCATCGCAATGCCGCTGTAATGTGGAACCACACCTTTCTGTGAGCTCTCACACAGTGGTCAATGGTAATTATTACATTACTATTACTCCAAAAAAACAGCACTCACTCATATCACTCAAGGAGTAATCCTTCATAGTGTGCTGTATTCCGATAAGGACATTAAGTCATCATGAGTATTTGTGATATCCAGCAAATGCTAAAACAACAAAGCAGACAGCTGGATTACACACCAGTAAAAAGTGTGGTAGAAGCAAATGCTAATGTATTCTCAACTGTGAGGGTAGCCATTTTCAATACTCATACAGTTTATAGGGGCCCCACATGCTTTTTATAATGTTCCTTTCCTGTGGTAGGTTTTTGTGGATGTAAATGGTCTGCAAAGGCTAAAATCCTGAAGTGCATGCCAGAGGGAGTTTCTCTCCGCACTAGCAACACTAGCGCTTCTATTGGCTATCTCTCTAACACATTATAGGGCAGGACAGGACATCTCTCAGCGATTGACCAATCAGAGCCTGCCAGCTAACCAATCAGAGTAGACTGGGCTCTGGTTTCAGACAGTGGGTGAAAATAGGTGCTGCAGCACAGGCAGTATGAGAACAATAAAGAGCTTTTTGTACATTAAAGCATGGAAACATTTCACATTAGAGGTACGAAATACAAATATAAACATGTAAATTAGCATAATATGTCTTCTTTTTTTTAAAGCTGAAAGCATGTAAAAGCTTGTACATCTAAAATTAATGTAGGAAAATTGAGAGACACTCATTTTAAATTAATTTGTGTACAAACTACAAAGATGCTTCAAACCTTCATAGTGAACTATAATTGTAGCCTGTCTCTATAGGACACCTGAGCTGGCACCAAGCCTGATTCTGACCCGCATAGAGTGGAGATGAGGCTCACTGTACAAATCAATTTGACGGACTCATGTGGAGCTAATTAAAGGCGCGCTGTGGCTACTGTCTGAGGCAACCTCCTGCTGTGATGCCCACAACTGTTGAATTAAACCAACAAGTCAATGTCACCCAATTAGCTAATGCACATGACAACAATTAAATGAGAGGAAGGCTGATAGTGACAACATTTGACCTTTACTGCTTTTCAATAAACTTGTAAAGCTAATTGGCCTTATAAATCTAGCCAATAAGGCGGAAAATATTTACAGTGCTTTTGAGAATCGACTTAATACCACAAACTGAAGAATAACATCAAAGTACTACCCTCCATCTGCACTCTAGACCCTCTACCCACAGCCTTTGTTCGAACATCTCGGCTATAAGTCCCATGATCACCGACGTCATCAACAGTTCCCTCAAGGCTGGTCATGTTCCATCAGCTCTTAAAACTGCCGTCATCAGACCCCTTCTAAAAAAAAACACCTTAGACCCAGATGTCCTCGCCAACTACAGGCCCATCTCCAACCTCCCATTTCTAGCCAAGGTGCTGGAAAAAGTAGTTGCCGCCCAGCTTCAGGACCATCTCCAACCAAACGGCCTCTTTGAGAAATTCCAGTCCGGTTTCCGTTCCGCCCACAGCACTGAAACAGCTCTGGGTCACAAACGACCTGCTGATGGCGGCTGACACTGGTTCCCCATCTCTCCTCATCCTCCTGGATCTGACTGCAGCATTCAACACTGTCGACCATAACATCCTCCTTCAGCGCCTCCAATACACCATCGGACTCTCTGACTCCGCCCTGAGCTGGTTCCAGTCCTACAGTACCTGTCTGGAAGAACAGAGTATGTCTCCTTGGGAGGTGCGAGGTCCCAGACACACCCTGTCACCTGTGGTGTCCCTCAAGGGTTGGTCCTCGGGCCCACTCTGTTCACCCTGTACACTCTGCCCCTTGGTCGTGTCATCAGCCAGCATGGAATATCATTCCATTGCTACGCTGATGACACACAGCTATATGTAAAGACAGACCCTATCCCACATGCTTCCTCACTGTCACCATCGTCATCACCATTCCCATCAACATCCTTTAACACCTGCATTGAGGAGATAAAGGCTTGGATGCAACAAAACTTCCTGCCGCTTAATACCTCCAAAACAGAAGCTATTTTAGTTGGCACACCAAACCAGGTCCAGTCATCCCCCATAACTCACATCACCTTTTCTGGCCAAAACATACCCCTCTCTGCATCAGTTACCAACCTGGGTGTACGATTTGACAGACATCTGACATTTGACACCCACATCAAACACCTGTGCAAAACCTCCTTCTACCATCGCAGGAACATTGCAAAACTCCTGTCAGATGCGGAACAACTGGTCCATGCCTTCGTCTCCTCAAGGCTTGATTACTGCAACACTCTCCTCATCGGGACTCCTAGCGGGAGCCTTAAGAAGCTCCAATACATACAGAACAGTGCCGCTAGGATCCTGATGAGGGTGAGAAAGTACAACCACATCACACCTGTCCTTCATTCCCTCCACTGGCTTCCTGTCTCATTCAGGATCAAATACAAGATCGCACTACTGACCCATCAGTGCATCCACGGGAACGCTCCGTCATACCTAAAAGAACTACTCACATCACAAACCTCCACACGCAACCTCCGTTCCACAACAAACCATCTGCGTCGCCCCCCGAGGACCAAACTCTGCACAATGGGGGATCGGGCTTTCTGTGCAGCTGCTCCTCACCTGTGGAATTCCCTCCCAGACCACCTGAGGACTCCCCAGACCACTGACGCCTTCAAGAAAGGCCTAAAAATGTGATTGGTTGTTGGTCGCGTGCCAGACATGCCCACCGGCAAGCTTCAACGCACGCTGCCGTGTGGATGTACCGCAGAGGTATGTATACACACTTCCGTCGATGCTTGAAAAGTTGAACTTTTCTCAACTTTTGAAGCGAGCAACGGAGGCAAAGCGACACGTCAGAACCAAAATGCAGTTCGGCAAAGCGTGACGTCACCCCATTCAAAGTGAATGGGAAGCGTCTCTGTTGAAGCAACGCACGCTACCGTGTGGACGGGCCGTAACGCAGCGTCCACACGGTGACGTGCGTTGAAGCTTGCCGGTGGGCGTGTCTGAAACTTGATCAACAACCAATCACATGAATTTCCCGCCCCGGACACACAAGCACGCGGTTTGATTGGCTAGAGCTTGTACTTGCATATGATTTGATTGGCTGGCGCTTCCGTCGAAGCTTCAAAAGTAGAACATTGCTATACTTTTGAAGCGAGCAAAGCGAAGCGACGGAACCACAATGCAGTTGGGCAAAGCGTGACGTCACCCCATTCAAAGTGAATGGGCAGAAGCGTTGAAGCTTCAACGCATGCCGCCGTGTGGACGGGCCGTAACAGTCTGTGGTGCAATGTGTCCCAAAGCTTCATGTATTGATAGGTTAATATGAATAATCAAACAAATGACTATGTGCAATGGGAATTATCCCCAACTCTCTCTCTAGGTCGTCCTCAGACGAGCCCTCCATCGTCGCTTCCAGTCATCCCGGTTCTCCATACATCTGGCCAGTTCAACTCTGCAGTACAGCTTATGAGCTTTTAACGTCTTTCAGCTTGTTGTTTTGGTTTTTCGAGCCAGCAACTCATCTCCGCTCATCAACCCTGTTCCCAGCAGGTTCAGGCACTTGTTTTCAGAGAAAAGGCTCTGATATAGTATGTACACAATACTGCTCACCACCAAACAGCAGGCAGTCACAGTTATCAACTAGCGAGTGAGCATGGTGGAGCTCTTAGCAGGAAATCCGATATTTTCTAAGAAGTGAACCAGAGCTACAAGAGTGAATATTGATTTCATTTAGATTCACGTGACACAAATCCATATGAATACTTATGTTACTCTGTGTCTGTTGAGGCATTTGATTGTTAACATCTTTGTCATACCTATTTTCTAATAAGACAATACATCAGTGTATGTGTGTGTTTTTGCAATTTAACACACATTACTAAACAACTAGTCATTCCAGCATCAAACCCCAACTCTGTCACGATCATGCTGAGGCTATTTTCCTTCCTGTTGTTTGAGTACTGCGAAAGTCATAAAGTCAACTGATGTTACTTTAAAATAAGTCATGGTTACATTATAGGGTATGGAAAAAACGATTTTAGAGCGAAACCAGTTGCGTTTCAGTTGATCCATTAATTGGTTAATAAGTGGCACTAATGGGAAATTCTATTTACAATAGGAAGTTGTGGAAGCAAGCCCAATATAATAAAGAAAGTTTGCATTGGTATCTAAATCTTATTAGTCAATTATGACCTGCATGATTTGTATTGAAACATAGTAGCCTATCTGATTCTTTTTATAATAGTATTTTACTAATTGTCAAAATAAAATGGGCTGAGTCGCCTAATATGACAAGAAGACATTTACAAATAAAACCATGAAGGCCTTCCATAGTCATGTTAGGCTGGGCTAACTTTCAGAACTGTTAGCTTTCAGCAGGTGTAACTACATGTAGCCAAGAAGAATTAGGCCTATACAACACAAAGAACCTAGGCAATAGGAAGGGTTGTTAATAAGCTATCAATACATGATGTAGTCAACTTATTTGTAATGTGACACCATCTCCTGCCCTGGAACATTGCAAATGTAACGACAGACTATGGTCAGACACTTCTTATACCCAAATGAGTCTAATAAAACGAATAAAGCTTGACTTCTTCCAGTAAGGAGCCGAGCCCACCTCCTGCAGCTGCTCCAGCTCCAGCCTCAGCGTCTCCTGCTCGGCCTCCAGCTCGGCGTACTGCTGCTTCAGGCTATGGTTCTCCTCCAAGACCACCAGCCCGCACTCCGCCGCCCGGATCTTCTCTCGGTTGGCCTCGGCCAGCTCCCGGGTCAGACGCTCCACCTCGGCCCGGCATTGCTCCACGGTGTCCCCGCATCCTGCTCCACCGGCAGCCATCGCTCCCTCTCCCCCTCCTCCGGCCCTCTCCTCCCTGCGTCGGATGAGCGGAGAGCCCCGCCGGAGGGAGAAACAGCTGAGGTAGACAACAAACCTGCCGCCCCTAAAAGGAATCACAACGCTGCCTCAAATCTCATTTTTAAAATGAAAAACCTAAATATAAAATAAACATCCGTAAATCTCAATAAAGCATTGTCATCCTCAGCAGAGACACCCATCTTCGGCCATGCAATGCTCTAAATGATGCAGCTTCTCATCTTCCTGTCCCGCATCCCCTCCCTCTGCTCTGTTTTTCTGCTTATTCACCGGCATCAGGCTACACCTCTGCCTGCAGCCGGGAGGCAAGGCACTCTTTACAGTATATGGGCACAGTCATGGAATAAACTGTGTAAAGGAGTGATGTGAAAACGCGAATTATTTTTAGATGCTTTCCACAACTGTATGGGCTGGGTTTTTTAATTGTAGTAGCACGTGGGATAAGCTATATTTTATATTAATTTAAGACTTTTATCTTTTAGTTATATTCAAATGCTTTAACTTGAGTTACTGTTGTTTCTATCTGGCAAAATATATTGTAGCAATAAAGGTAAATTCTAATAATTGAAATATAATTTCAATATGAGCAGAAAAAAGCAGAATGTTGTTATGTTATTTGTTCATTTATAGAACCCCATTAACTAAAACCAAGACAATAATCTATCATCCTAAATACAATATAAACAGCAGTGTATCTTTTTAATGCTAGTTCTAATATGCAGCTGTTTTGCTTGTAATTTTGGATCAATACTGTATTTTTTTGCTTAAGTATAAACTATTTTTACTCAATATTTTTACTTTAAACTTACATATACGTTATACACATAAACATTTATATTATACTTATTGTTAAAATGTACTTCATCTAATATGAAAAAAACTCTGGGTAAATAAAAAAAATCAAGATAAATAATGAAATTCCATATAAATTGTGCATTCAAAAGAGAGGTTTGCCCTTGTTTCATCTAATATTACATGAATATCACTATACAGCAGTAGGGTAATAGACATGTATATCTCTACAATGCAATTATCATTGTCATGATATATCTTTCAAAACAATATTTTACAACAGGATGACTGTATAATTCTGTCCTGGCAAAACATACATCTGAAAATGTGGTTAATCTTACAGCTAACATATGGGTAATTAAAATACAGGAGAATAAGACATAACTCTGAGGATAAACACTTTTTTATGGTATAAATGTCTGCAATTTAACAATGTAAAGAACATTAATTGTTCTTCCTGCAGGGGGCAGCAACACGCCGCAGATGCGTTTCTCCTGCCATAAAGGGCAAGGAGAAGACGTTGTCCAGCCTTCAGAATAAAAGTAATACACCTTTTTTGATTTATTTTAATACATTGATTTACAATGTATAACGTTTTAACAATGCCGTAGTAACAATAAAAGATTCCGGCAAAATACTTTTGTTGTGGAAAAAAAGCACAGCTTTAAAACATTTCATCATGATGATGACTCAATTATTAAGAAAAAACGTAATGGTTATTATATATATTTGTTCTTGTTTATTCATGTGACTTTTATCTCATTTATTTGCTATCGAACACTGTTTTTCCACTTTTAGTCTGTTTCAATATGGGTGCTTTTATTGTGAAAAACATCACACCGGAAGTAATATGTTTGTTGTGTCTGGCGGAACACCGGCTATATGATCTCTGCTACAGCTACTCCGCGTTGCACGTTGCTAGTTAGTTGCAATGCTGTAGCTATTAGCACGATAGCCTTTCCTTTGCTGGGAGGGAGACCCGCCGTTTCGTTTAATGAACATTTAATTCTCACTCATTCATAGTCCAACCGGCAGCTAACTGTTGACCAACGGATATTACCCACTAAAACAGTCGCTAGCTAGCTTGCTGTCTTGTCATCCTCAGCCTGCTAGGTCTAACCAGCTAGCTAGCCAGCTACCCACTAGCGTCCGTGCGTCTCCTTCTCAGTGCGAACAGTCTCCCAGCCGGTTGGAGGACCATGGCGATGAGACAGACTCCCCTCACCTGCTCCGGTCACACCCGACCTGTGGTGGACCTAGCCTTTAGTGGAATCACTCCATATGGCTACTTCCTCATCAGCGCCTGCAAGGGTGAGAGCAACGGATTGACAATAACGTTTGGCAAATACGCTTTTTACAAACATTTCTTAACGGTTATCGTAGATACTCGAAGTTGTGCCAATAGATACATGAATAGTAAGGCTAGCTTCGCTTTGAACCCTCTCTGTTCACAGTTAAACCATGATTATTAATTATATTTAATTGGTAATTAAATAAAAACACAAATTGCCGTTACAGTGCTCCATCAGTTGTTGTCATAGTGAGGCATTCTGTCTTATAAACACCTGTTGATACACATATCTAACCATTGTATAAATCCTCCCTGCTCTCTTTCGTCAGATGGCAAGCCCATGATGCGCCATGGAGACACAGGGGACTGGATAGGAACGTTTCTGGGTCACAAAGGTGCTGTCTGGGGAGCCACTCTGAACACAGACGCCACCAAGGCTGCCACCGCGGCGGCTGACTTCACAGCGTGAGTGAGGGTCCAGACTGGAAGCAATATGTCTAAAACAATCAAGTCTTATAACTTAAGAAAAATCTTTGTCTAACAACTTCCAAAAACTGGTAAAGTGGTACTGATCATCAGGGACGTGCACAGACATTTTGGGTCTCAGGGTCTCAAGTGAGAAAAAGGGCACATCCATAATCATTTATTAAAAAAAATGTAAAAGTTAAATATAGTTGCACATCTCTGGCTTACCGACCAATTCATTTTAATACCCTCACACTCACGCACTTGTTTAATACTCAACATAATTCTACAAAATAATCAGTTAACACAGAGAAAATGGTCTTCTTTAGTATTCACTACGCACAAGAGCAGACAACAGCAAAAATATGTAATGTTCTTACATGCACAAATACTGCAACTTTACTGAAATTATTTAACACAGTCTTGAAATCTGAAATTAAATATTTTGTTATTAACTTCTTTTGCTACTATCTTTCTTTGCACTTTGAAGTTGTTAAATATGTTTTTGTGTCTTCACTTGTTGTCTCTCCTTCCTCCCTTACAGCAGCAACCTTCTGGGGGCCATGTCCCTGTAGATGTTTATTACTTCACTGTGGATAACAGGAATGTCCTTGTCAATAGCGAGGAGGAGGGGATCAGAAAGCCTCTCTTCTGTCCTTCGGAGTGTGTCTTTCACACACCGGCAGCTTAGTCATTTGTTCATCACCACTCCCCTTCAAAATAAACCAAGAAAAGCCGGCATAATGTGGGACAGTAAAGTGGGAGGTGCTGCTACCTGTCTGTCTGAAGGGACTGCCGATGTCTGCACCGCTGTGCGCGAGACGTGGAGGGAGAGAGAGAGAGCAGCGGAACTTCAGTCTAATCTCCCGACCTTATATATTTTTTTTTTATTCAATCAATATATTATTGGAAAGTGTGCGCAAACAGTAGATACATATTCATTTATTTAATCAAATAAAAAGCACCCCATAAAAAGGGCACTTTCTCTGGAGGAAGAAAAAGGGCAGGGGCTCAAGCCCACTTTGAGGTCTGTGTGCACGTGCCTGCTGATCATGTTTATTAATAAACCTGCAATGGACATGATACCCCCTGCCTCATATCCTTTTTGTATTTGCTTTTTTAAATCACTGGGGGGGGAAAAACCCTGCTTTCAAACACATTACATGAATAATAAACAATAATCCTGCAGCTGCATGAATCGTTTTCAATGAAAATATGTGCTCTGTGCTTTTCAGAAAGGTGTGGGATGCAGTAAGTGGAGACGAGGTCCTCACACTGGCACACAAACACATCGTCAAAACCGTCAACTTTACTAAGGTCGGTGTATTGTCTTGAAATGAATGATCTCTGATTACTGCACATGTCTTGTATGCTGTTATATGTGTGAACTTTTTTAATATTTATTGTCATATTTCTGTCTATCAGGACAGCACCTGTTTGCTGACTGGAGGAAACGACAAGCTTCTGCGCCTCTACGATCTTATCAACCCTGAAGCAGGTAAGCCAATGTATCAAAGAGGAGACTTGCTTATGCACAGATCCATGTGTAAACAAATAGGATTTTATTTGATCGAGTTTAAAAAGTGTCTCCCTTTTGGGTGTCTTCATCATTTGCTGTAGATTCAGCCCTTATCAATGCATCACTTTTCCCTCCTCTTTGAATTATAAAAAGGAGAGATGACCGTTGTTTCTTTTTTCTTCTAATGTAGTTAAATGTTTTTGTCCTTATTAGCCCCTCAAGAGATTGCAGGTCACACCTCAGCCATAAAAAAAGCCTTGTGGTGTAACAACGACAAGCAGATCCTCTCGGCAGCCGATGACAAAACCATAAGGTACTATTTTGCGTGTCAATGACCACATCTAAGTGTCAAACTCCAATTCCACATCCTGACTGTGACTGCTCGACTTCCTCACAAGTCACCTCAACTTTGACACTGAACGCAGCAGAGACCTTATCTGTGTTTTGACCTGTTTGTGTCCAGGCTGTGGGACAGGAGCTCCATGGAGGAGGTGAAACAGTTGAAGTTCGACACAGCAGTGAGCAGCATGGAGTATTTGGCTGATGGAGAGATTCTTGTGATCACATATGGAAAGACAATCGGTTTCTACAACGCTCTAAGGTAAGTGACTACATCTAAAAGCCTGGGTAAACAAATATGTTGATAGTGTAGACATTTAGCTTCTACACAGTGACATTCAGCCAGTACAGCTATAGTCATTTTCATTATTTTCCAGCCTCGACCTGATCAAGACAGTTGACGCCCCGGCTCCCATCAACTCCGCCTCCCTCCACCCAGATAAAGACTTCTTTGTTGCCGGTGGAGAGGACTTCAAGCTCTACAAATTTGACTACGGCACCAAGGAAGAGCTGGGTGAGGACAGGAGAGACGTGTTTCAAATTTTAGAGACATTGTAAACCTTTTTATACACATGCACTATATTGTGTAAAGTCAAAGGTACTTAAAATGTTTGACTGTGAATCAGTAAATAACTTAAGTAAAGAGGATGTCTAAATGTTGAGTGGTTTCCTATTTTAGTAGTAGGGAGAAACCACAACAAAATATTTACAAATGTGTCCTTGTTGTCTCTTTGTCTGTAGAGTCCTATAAGGGTCATTTTGGTCCAGTGCACTGTGTACGCTTCAGTCCAGATGGTGAGCTGTACGCCAGCGGATCTGAGGATGGCACGCTCCGACTGTGGCAGACAGCTGTGGGGAAAACCTATGGCCTGTGGAAGTGTGTCCTACCTGGTAATATTCCAACCGTGGCATCAGCTGACATTTAGCTCAAAAATATATATTTAGCAAGGCTAAATGCTGAAGCCAGTGTGAGGTCAGTGTAAGTGCAGATCCTCCATTTGCCACAAAATGCTGCCTTTTTTAAAAACAGAACATCTGTAATGTCATCCTTTTGTGTGGGGACACAAAGTCAACTTAAGTTAGAATCTCAATCACCTAATGTATGTCATGGTGAGATTTGTCAATGTTCTTTCATAAAGGAGAAAACATTTGGACTACGTTAGTTATAGAGAATTAAAGTTGAACTTCCATGAAGTTTGGGAACTTGCCAGAGACAGACTTAATAAAAAATGCTCCTAATTGAAGCAGTAGAGAGACCCTGGCTGTGATCAAATAGACAGACAAATCAGGTTTTGACAGTCTGACCGAACATCCCTCCTTTCTAAGCACCCATACTTTCTATATTCCACACCTTTTTCTAACTCTTTTTTCTGCCTTGCCCTACTCCTCAGAGGAACTGGGGTTAGAGAACTCTGAGCCGCTGTACACAACCCCCCCTGAGATCAAAGCCTGAGGAGAAAACAGTGCTGTTTGGAAACGGGATGAGAAGAGAAAAGAAAAAACAAGCGGAGGGGTGTTCCAGCGTTCTATCCAGCCCCAGCAAGGAGCCGAGTCCAGAGCATCTCCATTCACCAGGAACTGATGTGGATATAAAGACTGCCTGTCTGTCATAGACTCACCCACAATTAAACTGACACACACGATTTTATGCAGTCATATGGACAGTATGGGCTGGAGAGTAAAGCAGTAGAGCTGTGAGTATCGGCTCATCGCTGCCTGCTTTCTCTCTGATTAGCCCAGATCTGTCTCGCTGCTTACATTTATTTTATCTTCCATTAAGCCTTGAACCCCAACGTCCAACCCCCATTTGGTTTCAAAGTTAAGATATTTAATGAGCTGGACTAAGGCATTTGTTTTCAATTCTCTACAAGAATACTAAAGGTAGTTGCACAGTTTGTGCAAGAGTAAGTTGTTTTCATTTCTTCAAAAACACTGCTTTGAGTATCCGCTGCTTTTGTACTGTACTGGTTAAGTATATGTGTCAAATAAAAGAAAATATTGTTTTGTGACAAAGAAAGAAAAAAAGAAGAAATGTCACTGTTTTTTTCATTGTCGCTTCTGACTTCTTCATTTATGTTTTGTGAAAAATAAACAAACGCATTACAATTTTATTTTTAAGTAATGCACAGAGATCAAACTGGTTTTGGTGTTTTTAATTGTTCTTTATTTTACCTGTGCAAAATGCGGATGAATAAGATCACGTCATCATTACATATTTCAATCACTCAAGCAAATACAAACTGACAACATAAAGAAAAAACGTAGTAATATCAAATGTCTTTATAATTCACTATCAACGTGCTGTTAAAACAAGGTGAGTGAAAGGTGTGTCAAACTCGTGACGTGATATTCATTTTCAATAGTTGCATGTGTGTCCCGCCAATGAGGGAGCCCTTTCTAACAGCGTCTGACCAATAGGAGCCGGTCTTTCGGGCAGTCACTTCCGGCCTGTGTCGTCCCCATGAGTCGCAGCTATTTTTTTTTTTACCAAAAGCCTATAACTCTGTAATAGCCAGTTTCAGTTCTTCTCAGTGGAGTAGGAAGCGTGGGGAACTACACATTCATTTTGTTTTTCGTTAATTTTTTATTTCTTACTTCGACACATGCATCTTACCTCCTGCTAATTAAAACCAGTAAGCGGCGCTGGTTAGCTGTGCGCCTATCAGAAGTAAAACTCCTCTCCGTTTTTCCCACTTTCCCCCTCGGTGTTAGCTAGCTAACTTACCCAGTCTAAGGCACCTCAGTCCCTGCAGCTGCACGCAGACATGTCGGAGTACCTGGACGACCCGTCCGTGCTCACAAAGGAAAAGCTGAAAACCGAGCTTGCGGCCCACGACGTGGAGCTCCCGAACGGCAACCCGACCAAGGACGTGTATGTGCAGCTTTATCTGAAGCACATTACCGCTAACAACAAGAAACATGTCACCACGTCTGTGGACGTCTTCTCCAGCGACGAGGATCTGCCTCCACCCGTAGTCTCCAGCAGAAGTCGCTCCTCCGGCAGAGTAAGTTCACTAAATCATACGCATTTAACGTTATTTCAATAAAAAACGCTGCAGAAACTCGCATAGCACGAGGATGCAGCGTGGTACAAGTTTAGCCAACTTGACTCAAAAGTATGGCTAAGTTGCTTTGCACTTAGTTATATCTATAGTTATATCATTTACAGTGCAGATATACAATATATAAATATACCATATCACAGCTGCCACTAACCATGTAGGCCTATCAACCACTGACAACGTTGTGATTCTAAATTAGCCTACACGTCTAAAACTAGTCCAAAACAAATGGCCATCAAAAGTTTGCAGATGTATCATGTCTTCTTAATATATTTGATCGTAATGAAGTAACCCTTAACTAAAGAATACATCTACTATTCTTATTATAATATTCAGTATAAAATGTAAATAGGCTTGGACCTCAGACTCCATTCATCCATAGCAGTATTTGCCATGAGTCCCCACCCCAAAAAAAAATCTAGGTTAGAAACATGGATGCAGTTGCTATTATTAATTATATCCTGAAAAACATTTGGAAATGTAACTGAAACTGTTTTTCTATATATTGAGACCGCCTTTGTATCCCAGTTTTGGCCATTCATACCTCTAACCAGATTCACATGCTTCAGTTTGCACGACCTCCACCCAAAAAGCTTTCCAGCCTAGGTAGAAGAGAAGTGCCTTTCTGTTGTTGGTCACAACAAACCAACAGCAACCTTAGATGTATCTGCTGATCGAAAACTGGTTGGTATCACTTGTATCAGTTATCTGAAGTGCAGACTGGGGCCTCTTAATCATTCTGAATTCATTCATTCTCTTTGACATAATACATTCATCAGTATGTGTTTTTAAAAGCCCGAGTGGACAAATAAAGTCTCAGCTTTACCTGATGGTACATGAGACACAATCCCGCCCAGAAACTGTTGTGTTTGAATGAAATCAATTGGTTTTAAAGTCTTGAGATTGCATTGCTATCAAGCTTAAGTTGTTGTACCAGTGAGAAGGGTCTCAGTTTCTCAGCATTCCTCTGTTGCTTTTTAATAACTATAATCCCGCTCCAGCTGCATACTTCAGAGCCTTCAAACAGGAGACTGATTGTATGGATGCAGCAAATATTCCAGACATGTACCCGAGTATTTTAATACAATTACTATACTATAGATGGGGAAAACACCATTGTGATTAAAAAAAATTCTTACAATTTCACACTTAATTTTGATGTGCATGTTGGTCACCATAAACACGAATCCTAATTTTTCATCCATCCATCCATCTTCTCCCGCTTATCCGTGGTCGGGTCGCGGGGGTAGCAGTTCCAGCAGAGAGCCCCAAACTTTCTTTTCCCTTGCGACATCAACCAGCTCTGACTGGGGGATCCCAAGGCGCTCCCAGGCCAGCGAAGAGATATAATCCCTCCACCTGGTCCTAGGTCTACCCCTTGGTCTCTTTCTAATTCCTAATCCTAATTTTTGTTTATTTTTAATATTTATTTTTAATTTTTTCTTCTAATTTTACAATCATATTTGATTTAATTGTCGTTTTAATTTTACATAGTTTTAATCACATTTTACTTTACCTATTCACTTTCGTAATCTTTATTTATTATTATTTTGGCTTTAGTTGCACTATATGTGTTTCTCTGTGAATTTATTTTAGATTGGACAACACTGTTGTTGTTGCACTACACCACGCTGTAGAGAGTACTGCACATTGTATATTTCCTGCTCTGTTTTGAATTCTTGGATGCTAGTACTACAACAGGTGTGCAGCAGGATGTGTCCAGTCTGAACTTGTTTTGGGGGGGGGTAGTCCGTACATGATGAATGAAGGAATGACGGGTGTGAGCAGAAGAAAAGACTTGACTGTGAGAAATGACATGTGGGAGGTGACGGAGTTTGTGTGTTTGTTTTTTCCCTGCTGCTTGTAGTTCAGGTATTTGAGTCGATCAGCAGAGAAGATTCATGTCTTTTGTCTGAACTCACGTTATGAAGTTGAATACATGGTAATGGGGAGGGGGGGGGAAGTTGTTTATTGCTTTGTATCACAAGCCAGATGAGTCACATCAACAGGCAGCGGTGTGTGTGTCTTTGAGTTGTAAAGTATTTGATATGAGATCTTGAACAAACTGTGTCAAAGAGGAATGCTAGGACGCCCTGACCCCGATGCGTTTCAAACAGAACCTCCACGCAGGTATGTTGTCGGTGTGTCACTTTATCATGGCAGAATCTGGAGTTGTGAAGAAGAGAGCCAAAGTGCTGATTAGCAAAGGACTTTAACGTCATTCCATTTTATAACTCATAAGATTTATTTGAGAAACAAAATCATTCTTTGTTACACTTTGATTTGACATCAGAGAGCAGTTAAAGAAATAAAGAGATACAAAATCTACCTTCTAAACTTTCTTTACCGCTCCCGCACCACTATCCACTTAATCATGGTCAATTTAGTAGATGGCAGCCTAAACAATAATGCCACTCATTGAATATATTTTATTTGCTGGGTGAGAAAAACACCTGATTTACATGTAGTGCCCTCTTGGAGATTTGTTACTTGTGTGTTTGGAAGACTTTCTAACTCGATACATGTAAACAAACGGTGTATGACGTGAGGGCGATGAGATTATTTCATTTTTTTCTTTTTTCAAATAATGGCCTTTCCATTGGAGCTTTAAATGGCAGCGCAAGAGACAGTTTACCAGCAGCTGGTACTGATATCTTTATGGCCTCTTCATTCAGGAAATACTTTTGTTAGGAATGTGTGTGTAGCGGGGGTGTGTTAAAAAGTGACGGCACGTGTGTAATGTCTCGGGTGTTTGTTTTGTAGGGTTGCGTGGTTGACGTTTATGTAATGAAGCCCGGTGTTCACATGTCTGAGTGATTACAGGCTGCAGGTACGAGCTGCCGTTGGAGGTTGGCCCTGCAGCTCAAAAATGAATTCCTGACATTTTTCAAATAGTTTACTGAAGTCGAGGAGGATTTTCAACGTGGCTTCACGTGCATTACGTTTCTTCCGTTTTGACGCTTGTCTGTGATAGTGAGATTTAGAGGAATTACAAGTACGATGAAAGTGTGACGCCAACAATTCAAAGAGTTGTGGTTAATCTGAGCAAAGGCTCACCACACTTACTCCACTGTTATTCAGCCAAGCAGTGTGGTGCATCACGCAGCCACTGGTCCTGGCATGTCTCACCCTCAAAGTACTCCATCCAGGCGTGAATGAGGAGGAGTAGTAAAGGAAAGCTTGACGCTGTTTGTCGGTTGTGAGTTTACTCCTCTGGCCAAACTGTGAGCTCAAGGTTTAGTAATGCCATTATAGGCCAGGGTGTGGTCTGCAGAGGAGGGATCACAGAGGCTTTCCCCCCCTCCTCCCGCTCTCTCAGCTCAGACTGATGTTATTATGAAACAACCTGGCTCATCTCCAGACTAAACCCTGCCGAGGGCCCACTGAGACCCGGGGTGAGACAGCCTCTCTCTGTCTCCCACATTTATTGCATGTTGTGAACACCTCACGGCAGCCTCTCGTCACTGAAGTTGAGCGTATCTTCTTTGCCTTCCTCACATTTTCCGTTGATTTGCTGCCAACTGAATCGGTTGTAGAGTCGCTGCAGGCCCAGATGTTGATTCCAAGTCACTTTTAGAGTGGCTTTTTTTATGGTCACAGTAAGACTATGAGTAGTTTGGGTTTCGGTGTTGCTCTCTTCATCAACTTTGATCAGCTGATGCACATCAAAGAGCACCAGTGGTCTTTTGGAATCACTGCAAATGAGTTTTGTTATAAGATTGCTATGTCACCATTTCTCTTTGCTGTTGTCCCCTATTTACTGAAGTTGAACCTAGACTGCAGCAAGAACAGCGAACACCAACACTGAAGAGTATTTAGGATAATAACTTATATTGCAAGAGTTAAGATTTTTTATAGGTGGCAAAATTATTTATTTAGGTTTCTCTTACATCAAATGCAAATATGATGTCCGTTTTAAAAAAACAAAACAGATGCAGTAAGGATTTTATCTTTACAACTGTAAGTGCTATTTAAAGACACAAGATAATGACTGTAATGTCCATATATGTAGACCTGGTTCAGGGGAATGTCAACGTGACGCCACAACCCTGAAGGAAGTGAAGTGAGAACATCACATTCTTCAGTCTCCAGTTTGTGGGTGAAAATCGTAAAGCATCTGGAGGTATTCTCCTTGTAAAGACATACCTCTTCCTGCCGCTGCTTCCAAGTAAAAGCCTTCCATTTTTACTGAACTAAGACATATTGCAGTGTTTAAGCCTATAGATGTGAAACAGCAGATTGTGTCTTGCCTCTAATTAGTTGAAAGCCTTTAGGCGTTATTTTTGGCTTTTTAATGACGTACTCTGCTTTGAACGCGTTATTTCCTCAAGTTGACAATAAACTGCTGCAAGGAATTTTGTGATAGTTCCTGCCCGTTCTCGAAGTCTGGCTTCTCAAATGGTTATTTTTTAACAAACCACACGTTTAAGTCCAGGAATCGAAAAGGGCAGTCTTTACTTGTTTTTGTTAAACCTTTACATTTTCACACGTTGCCTTGAACAGCAACAGGACAGGTCTGTTATTCACCAAACCATGTCCGTGCCAACTTTGGATTATATAAGGGACTGTACCCTGACCAAAGCATAACTTTATACTGCACACTGACCCATGATTGATTCCTTTTTCTTAAGGACATTTGATTCTTTTGAAAAAAGGTTCAAATCATGGCCGCATGAGTATCTGCTCACATCATTTTTAGGCAAAACATCTTCTGAATGCATATCTGTTTACTCAAAAGCTCAGCCTCCTGCAGATGTGAGCTAAGAAGGAGGCACATGGCTTCATTTCAGAGGCAGCTGGTTTCAAACAGAGTAATTTCCTGTAGGCTGGTGTGTGAGAGGCGACTTCAGAACAAGATGTGCCTGATCCATCTGCCTAGAAATGCTGCTTTGTTTTCCCCAGCTTATGTTATTGAAGAAAACTCCTCAAGTTGAAGCATTAGATTTTAAATGTTGAGTCCATCTACATTATTTGCCTGCACTTAAATACAGGCATCCATTTATCTACATTGAAAGCAACAATGCGTTTAGTTGACCCTTTGTTAAGCCCCGCCCCTTCGCTAAACTACGTCAAGTTCTCTGTCCGATGCTGCGCTATGATTGGCGAGTCTGTATTCAAGGGGCTGGACTTAGCGAACGGTCATTTCGCCAAATGGTAAACCTGTTCTGCTAACTGTCTGTCAAAGGGCTTTCTTCTGAGCAAATTGAGAACAAAGGCATTGGTTCACGGGAGAATGTTTTAAGGTGAACAGGTGTGCATGTTGGGACAGAGTCTATTTGAACTTTTTAGATTTGAACTTTCCCACTCAATACCTGAAAAAAGAACCGTCCTTTACGATAAGAAAAGTTAATGCTATAACCAACAGAGTGTCGCTCGTTAACATTGTGTCCACTTGGTTGGCGGTTCACAAACCGCTCACATGCAGAAAAACAACTGTCTGCTGTCTGTCCGCTCTTCTGTTGTCGTTACTGATCACATTGCCTCGGGACAAAAATAAATCCATGGCAGTCCCTACAGTTGGAGGTAGATGGTGGTCCTCCACCGGAAGGTCGGTGGTTCGATCACCAGCTCGTGCAGGCAACATGTCGATGTATCCTTGGGCAAGAACCCTAAACTCAAACTGCTCCGTGTGTGTGTGTGTGTGTGTGTGTGTGTGTGTGTGTGTGTGTGTGTGTGTGTGTGTGTGTGTGTGTGTGTGTGGTGTGTGTGTGTGTGTGTGTGTGTGTGTTGTGGTGTGTGTGTGTGTGGTGTGTGTGGTGTGTGTGTGTGTGTGTGTGTGTGTGTGTGTGTGTGTGTGTGTGTGTGTGGTGTGTGTGTGTGTGTGTGTGTGTGTGTGTGTGTGTGTTGTTGTGTGTGTGGTGTGTGTGTGTGTGTGTGTGTGTGTGTGTGTGTGTGTGTTGTGTGTGTGTTTTGTGTGTGTGTGTGTGTGTGTGTGTGTGTGTGTGTGTGTGTTGTGTGTGTGTGTTGTGTGTGTGTGTGTGTGTGTGTGTGTGTTGTGTGGTTGTGTGTGTGGTGTGTGTGTGTGTGTGTGTGTTGTGTGTTGTGTCCTTCCTTCTCAGCAGCCTCTGCCTGTATGAATGTGTGGGAAAGCTCTTTATAAATGTAGTATTTTTAGCAACCAGGAAAATGTATGATTTACCAACCGGCTCTCTTCCCCCCGTCCCCCCCCCCCTTCGCAGAAAGCCACCAGGAAAACAGACAAGGTTTTGCCGGACGAGATGGACGTCACTGTGCTGACCGACGGCGGCCTGATGGACGAGCTGCAGAAGCACGGAGTGAACGCGGGGCCGATTGTGGGTGAGTGCTGCGAGGAGTGATTACTTCTTGGTCAGTTAGTTTAACCAAGCAAAACACAGCCATGAAAGCACGTAACCGTCTTAAAATCACAAATAAAAGCAGGTTTAATATTAATCTGGTCACTAATAACAATCTTGACAAACAAAGGGAAGGTAGATCGCTGATAAAGCACAGCACCAACTCTCAGTGTCATCCTCACCCCTGTGCTCACTTTCTCTTTTTAACAGAAGCAGTATTTTTATGTCAGTTTTTAGCTACAGTCACATTTACCTAGCACTTCCTTCAGATGTATTTACCATGAGGAGGAGGGTGCTAAGCAGTAGCGGCTTAAAATCAATGAAGTAAACATCAAAAGAAGTGTGCTGGATTTATCGAGAGAGGAGTTTAACATGGCTAAAGTGTACTGAAAATATTATAGCGTATCTTAATGTGTATCATATTTCTATCATGGCTCTTGTTGTTGTTAGCTATTAGTAATATCAGTATTGTTAAAAAGTATTTACTTATTTCTTTATGGTTTTGGTTTCATAGTCTCTGGCACGCATGCTTCCATAGCAGTCAATGAGCTACTGTAGATCCATCCCACTGCAAACTAATGTGTTTCTATTGCATTATCTCTACATGCTTTTAATGTTTATCGTAAAGGATTTTTAATTGCCTTAAAATGCGCTATATAAATAAACTTGCCTTTTAAAGACATAGACAGAATAATGAAATGTCCCTCCTTCCTGCTTGTCCTCGCAGCCTCCACCCGTAAGCTGTATGAGAGGAAGCTGCAGAAGCTTCTGGATGAGGGTCCTGCACAGCCACCGCTGCCAGAGGTCATCGTCACGGAGACACAAGTGAACCACAACGGCAACTCAGAGTCAGACCTGTACAGCGACAAGGAGGATGGTAAGAACAATGTGACGCCTTTCATGATATGCTCCACACTACGGCAGGTTAAAGGTTTATACACTAATCACAGCAGGGCTCGACAGTAACGGTTGCCATTGGCAACCATTCAGAAAAAATGTCAACCACTTCTTGGCCTTTGGTTGCCATCAGTGGCAACCAGTTTTTAACATAAAGAAATAAGGACAGCAAACAGCTAAATGTGCACCCCAAAATAGATATATGTTCATTATTTGTTGTATTAAGAGTGATATTTAATTATTGTTGTGACCAGTTGGAACGTGATAATTAAGTTGCACGTGCATTGGTGTGATTACGGAGCCAGAAAGCGATGCACGTTTACTCGCGTGCGCCGTGTGTATGTTTTACAAAAAATGGCGAAGCAAATGAAGTTGTTTGACCGTGGGGTCAAAAGTTCGGCCAACCCGTCAACATCTCAAACGAATGTTCAAAGTGATTCAACTGATAAAGTGCAAGATGAAACCGAACGAAAAGCAAAGAGGAAATGGGTTGAGTCTTGGGAGGCGAAATATATAAGTACATTCTGCTCCGTTGTGCATTCACTTCCGGTAAAAGTTCCTTCAAAAATAAGAGTCCCGATCTTGTTGCTACCAAAATAAAAGTGCTAAACGAAACTTTACCATAGGAAACTATTGGCATACAAATATAATCACTTCTATAAAAAGGTAACACATTTTAAATATAGTTAGACATATTAAAGGTAATTTACAGCATTAATAATTAATATCTAATTCTTAACTATGAATGGTTTTCATTTATTTAACATTAGAAATTTATTAGTCTGGCCAATCCAAGACTTCAATGCTGAAGGGCCAGTGGATCTATGGTGGGGGTCAGCACAAAGGTCAAGAAAACCCACATTTGAAAGGGAGACAGCGGATGACCAAGAAACTAGTGACTTGCTCAATTCATTTGTGAGGGATCTGTGAAGAACGTGACAGCAGCTGCACTCCTGGTATTTTGTATACCAGCAATTGAGGGTAGACAAGTTTACTACCACTTAAGTTTCAAATAATTGTGTTAATTACTTATTGTAAAGCATTTGAACATTCTTTTGTGTCACATGTTCATTATTAAGTTGATGTATAACTTTATAGTATCTTAATTATTTAAAATATAAGGTGACTAAAAATGGCAACCATATTTTCAGTTTTGGCAACCAAAAGCTGATGCCTGGTTGCCACCCTGGCAACCACTTTTCAAAGTTAGCGTTGAGCCCTGCACAGTTAGATTTACGTTTAAACATTTGCAATATGTATTCACTTTAAAGTGCTTTACTACAATATAATCATGATTTACCATAATAATAGATTATATGTGGAGTGTTAGTAAGCCATCATTGCAGTGAGTTGTCATGTTATTGCCTGCTAATAAACATTGCATTTATATAAAAACGACTTTCCAAAGCATATAATCTATATTATATATATCATATTACATTTTTAGGAATGTTGTAATTCTTGTACATGTCTTGAATATCAAAATGCTGCTGTGACAAAACAATGTATCAATCTAATCTATCCATCCATCCCTCCCTATTGTTAACAAATAAACCCACCTGGATGTCCCTTAACATTATGTGTATTTACTGGGTTCTAACAGAAGTGATAGCAGAACCAGTACCTGTGCCAGAACCTGAACCAGAACCAGAACCAGTCCCAGTGGTGGAGAGGCCAGTCCGGAGCAGAGGGAAGACGCCCGTCACCACCCGCACCCGCAGCAGCCAGCACCACACGGTCAGTAACAAACAACAACTTCAATTTCTTCTAAACACTGACGGATGCCAGTTTGTTATCAAAAACCGGAGAGCAAACCCAAGAGTGTGCTTGGTTTCTTTCAGATAGAGCAGTTGAAATAAATTGAATGAGGAATTACATTTAGTTAGAGAAGCTCATGGAACAGATCGTGGCGTAATTTCTTTGACTTTTTGTTGACCTTCCCCGTCACGTCCATTTTCTCCTTTGTTCCATTTCCAGGTTGTCTCAGGACTTCCGGTTCCTATTGTAAACAACGTAAAAAGTCTTAGTCCTGATTGGTTCATACAGCCTTCAATTACTCATAGTTGGGATCACCAGTACAGAAGTGAACTACTTTACAACAAGCTCAACTATGGTCATTAGAAATGTCATGAGCTCCTAATGTTTAAGTTAAAGGAATGGTATGCTCATGACACTCATTTTTAAATAATTATCATCCGATAAAACAGACCAGTCTCTGCCAGTCTTCTTTTTCTTTTTTTTTTTAATCCGATGACATTATCAGTGATTTTAAACTGATTAATTACCGAAATAACATCAACACTGTGGGCGGCGCCATTTTACCGGACGTGACGTAAACCATGCGTTTGGTTTCGAGGACATGTTCATGTTATTTACTGTAGTTACTCTCTTCAAATATGCCTCATTGTATCGCGAAACATTGCCACAATTCTGATAGGAACAATCCACAGAATGCTCGGTTCCATCTGTTGCCAAAAGGTAAGCGTAGGAAGTACGTTCGGAGGCAGTGGCTAGCGAAATGTGGCCGGCCCGAACCGAAAGATCCACAAGCGCATGTATGCAGCGAACATTTCAAGTTTCCGGACGACTACTCTGAGAGTATGATAAAACATAACATGGGATTTATTGAACAACCATTACTTAATGGAGATGCAGTACCATCGGTCTTTCTGGTGGCATCACCGACCAGGACACCCGTTCGGCCAGTTGAGAAATCGCCCTCTGCAAGTGTGAAGCGACGGAGGACCAGAAGTAGTGCTCGGAGTAAGAATAAGGTATGTTATGGCGCATTTCCATTGCAGCGGGTAGCCCCGTTTAAACGTCCTTTATCGGCCAGGCCAGTTTTTGGTGGCCTTTCCATATAGCGTAGTACCGGCTAGTGGGTATTTTCCCCCAGTTTTTCCGGCCCCATAAAATCGTGGTTCTAGGGCCAGGGACAACGAGGCTGAGTATGCTAAACTAGAGAGGGAATCGCTAGCAAGGATGGTACTACATGCATACATATCTAGTAATCAAAATCATTGTATCTACTAAGTAGTACTAAGTAGGCTCGAACCTGTATGGCTGAATTCCCCCTTCCAATCTCTTCATATTGCTCAAAACTTCTTCCTCGGCTGACGAGTCCGAACTCAAATACTCTGCCATGTTTTCGTGTGTTTACAAAGTGAACGCATGGATGACGTCACGACCATCACGTGACTACTGAAAATGGGTAAAATGGCAGCGGCCTGACGGAATATACAGGTTTTGATAAAAAAGAGCTATAAAATCATTATTTACCGGGGAATATCGCTGATTTCTTCAGGGTATGGTTTAAACATAATGTTTCACTAAATACTGAAGTTTTGATTAATTATCTAATGAGTGGAGCATTCCTTTAACAATTCAAATGCACCATTCACCCAACTATGTAACATAACGTTTTTCCTTTTCAGTAACATAACTTTAATTACATTTGTTACACAAAAATAGCCTTATTTCAGAGACAAACTGGACTGTGCGGTGTAAGAGAGTAACTAACCACATGTTATATTGGATAAATATAATTAGATGAGATATAATATTGCTATAAACACAAAATAAAGCATTGACTGTTATTGCTGTATCATGACCAGCTGATCCCCTACTCTGAAGGAGGGCTAGTCTCCCCTAGCCCTAACCCTATAAGCATCACTGTGTAAACAGTGGATGATGACATTTTTTTCTTCCATCTCCGTCGGTCCTACGTCGCAATGGCGCACTTCCTTCATGTTGATACCAGAAGGTCAATAAGTCACAAACCAACACTAGAACTATCTCCCTCTGCTCGGTAACTCAATCAATTACAATTATCTCCAGGTCTCCTCAGGGAGAGGAGAGCTAGCCTTTTCTTCTGCGTAGTGCTTTTTCTCTCGTTTCTACCATACCATTAGACCACAGTTGTTTCTTGAGACACACTGTGGTAAAAAAGCAGTTGGACTTCATCAGTTGTATCACCGTACTTCATTAACCATCAATCTGTATTTAAAAAGTACAATCAAGACCACACATTTTGCAAAGAAAGTAAATTAATTTAAGCATTCCCCCCCCCCCCCAAATAGGTAGGATGTGACACCCAGCAGCTGGGGTTCATTACACCCTTTCCTCTGACTCTGCTAAAGGAAGCGGTTTTCCATTATTATTGGAGCAGTCACACCCAGCTTACTGTGAGCCTCATGGTTCAGTGTATCAGTGCTGCTCGCTGCCCGTGAGATTCAGAGCACATGATATGGATTAGCGGCTGCCATGCACGTGCTGAACCTCTTCACACACTGACTTTTCTATTCAGGGAACAGCCTTCATGTTTTCCCCTCACCTCCGTTGGTTCTATCTTCCTCTTTCTGACGTTTGGCATCCCTGGTTTTATACAGTTGGAGTAAAACCATCCATCTTTTCTATTTTGTACTGTAGATAATGACAGTAGTCCACTGCTTCTTTTGGAAAATAGACTGTAAACTCGTGTCCCACATGTGTTGCCCCTCTAAATGTAAACAGCTCCTCCTGCTGTTCACCCACTGAACATGCACCTGTTGAGGTGATGACGTCTGGAACAAGAGGCGCTTGTATCGTTGTGGGCTGCTGAGAATAAACTGATATGAGCAGAGGGGGTGGAGCTTGATGTGTGTGTGCCTGCACGTGTGTACATTCAGGTATATTTTCTTGGGTAAATGGTAAAAATGGGAGGAATGTAGCCATGGGATGCCACTGAGAATGTGAAAAGCAAGAAAGAGTTTGCATTCATGGTTCAGACTAAGAAGTATCTGTGTTAATTGATTAAGTGTATAAGTATTCTTGCCAATTTTGCCATTGTTCTACAATCATTTCACTGTGTATTAACGTGTATCTCATTATGATCAGTTTAAGCACTTTTACAAACTACAAACAGCAGTGGTTGACATTTTTGTCTGAAGAATTTCTGCTGCTGATGAATGAGCTGCACTTCAAATGCTGGAATTCTCATTGTCTGCTGTAATGTGCATACCGTGTGTAGAGAGACCAGTTGATGGATATGGAAGATGATGATGATGAGGATAATGTTCTGCAAGTTAAGCGCAGATCCAGGAGGCCGTCCCAAAGAATGGTGAATACTGTCCCTCCTCTACCCCCCCCACCCCTTTTCTGCACATCAACACTGTGACTCAGTAAACCCACCAATGCACAATCTGTGGGAAGCGTTTTCCACCTACACACCTGGCTTCATGCAGCTCAGTCTTTTCCACATCTTCAAATATTCTTTCTATCTGCTAAACTGCTTACGATATATAATTACTCTGGCACTGCAGGAAGATATATGGTTAAATAAACCCTGATGCTTTCAAATAATGTCTACAAACATTTTTTTTTTTTATTGAAATGGTATTTATTATTTCTCGGGCCAGCATTCTTAAACCCTAAGGTACTTTACTAGGTTATAAAACAGGAGAAACCAAAGAAGCTCAAACCAGCATGAGATGATATGATTTTTTCCCAGTAAAGTTACCTAAATAATACATTGATTATTAATTGGTGATCATTTCAGCAATAATGTATTATTAGTAATCATTCTCCTATAATGCTGCATTATCAGTATCATTAGTAGGACATATTTCCGCCTACCAACAAATCTGACTCAAACTGCCAAAAGGTTTCCTATCCATGCAGCTTTTCAATTCCGACGTCACAGAAGCAATCCAGTTAAATGACAAGGTGCTAAAGCAGACTTCTCCATCATGCTTATAGCTACTCCTTCATCCTTTTTAATTCCTTCTCCTGCTTAGCCCCTCTTATATATTACTTCCTTTCCTCAGTTCTTTCTATACCCTGTGTCAATAGCTCTCTTTTCTCCCGTCCCATCAGACAGTGCCTGAGGATCTCAGGCCTTTATCGATGGATCAGATCCAGGTAAAGTCTAACAGGAGGGTTAGCCAAAGACTGGACAGTCCAGACCGGGCTGAACCTCCCCCTATCTCATCCAGACCAGTTCAGGTAGCTTTGGACTGTTTTCTCACGCTCTCATACCTGCATGGGCTCACGGGTCGGTTGGTTCCAATATCTGCTGTGCTGTCGAAGATATGATCATTTGCCTTTCGGACCGTCTAACACTGCACCCAATGGTGGAAAATATTTTTGCGTTATCAACCAAGCCAACGGTCACAAATGTGAGGATGTCACTTGTTTCTTCAGCCATTAGGAACTTTTAGGGGTGTTTGGGGATGTTACAAATTATTTTTCTGTACTGCCACTAGATTTAACCAGTTCTGACGCTGTGGTTTGAGGAATAAATCATATTCTAAGAATCCTGAAATTCATTGTCGTTTGCACACCTTCTGTTTGAAACCTTTAGCTCAAAGACAAAGAACTTGTGCTACTTCCCAAACCCCTGCAAGGGTTCACCTCACAAGTCAGTCATTCTGCTCAACACTGCTTGGTTAGAGGTGAGCCTTTTGAATGTTTGCCATCTGTCTTTAACAAAAAAACTACTTTCACAAAATGAAGCCATTGTTTGAAACTGGCCAGTTGTCAGGTTGTTGGCCATGACTGAGACTGGTCAACGAGTCTTTCGTATTACATTTTTGCTTGATTTTGCCTGTTTTGTTGCCGTAGGAACCTGAACCAATCATTACACCTTTAAAACCAGGAGTAAGGGTGGGTGGAATGACATTTGTATCACAGATCTTTCTCTTTTTGGTAATATTTGTACATTTCCGAATGCTATATCTAAGGCAGGACCTCTGACTTGTACTAAACAGAGTCAACGCCCGACTGCCAGACCATCAAGACTTTCTTCCCCTCTGGTTCAGCTCGTCAAAGTGGACCCTGTGACTTTTAGCCCTATGTGTAAAATCTCACCCATAAAGAGACGAGAGTACCACGAGTCTCTGTCCGACCGGTCTGGATCGAAGCCCAATGGTGTCTCCGTAGCTAGGGTACAGTTTTACTTTTACAACTTTGGTGGCTGCATTTCATTCTATTCTCTTGTTTTTTGCTTTTACCGTCCTTCACTTCTGGGTGGTACATTTTCTGTGGATCAGTATGAAGAGTTCACAATCTACTGCTCCAAGTCAACTGCTCCGCTGTGTTTGAAGCTCTCTGCAGAGACAGTTGTGTGACAGCTGAGCCGTTGGCTTGTTAAACAATCTCAACACACATTCACACACACATTGTTTGTGAGCAGGACGAGTGCGCATCTCCAGATGTCCTGCTGCATGGAAGGAGGCAGCAGAAAATCACCAGCTTCATGTCCAAGTACAGCCCCATGAAGACGCTCAACAGCACATCCATACTGTCCAACGATGTGTTAGTGAGAAAGGTAGACTGTTTCCACTGCATGGTACTGCAAGGCTCAACTCAACTTGCTAGGAACCCTTTCATTTGTTTTCAAGAAGAAACTGTTGTGGACAGTACCTGTTATTTTCTTTGGTAGCACCTCGTGGGTATCCTGCCCAAACCCAAGCTACCATCAATAGCATCCTCTCTGTTTAGTTGTTGTAAGTATTCAGCAAATGTTGCGTGGAGGATGCCGTACCAGCTTCAAACAGCATTGTTTAATGATCCGCTAAGATTGTTGCCTAAACTTTGTGGGTAATATCTGCATCAGCAAACGGGATGTAGTAGAAGGGAGGCAGGGGACATTCACAGGGTGGTTCAATCGTCAACATGGTGGTACCCAGCCTTTTGTTTGAATAGGTCACGTGGTGAGAGGTGTCTAATATCCAGTAGGGTGCCCTCTGCAGGTCCAAACATTCCCCCACAGGGAATGGAGGGAATGTATCCTTTGCATCTGCTCTATAAGTCATGCTCTCCATGGTTGTTTGTCTCTTTAGGTGGAGAAGATTGCAGCAGGCGACCAATCACAGAAAGTGGTGGAGACTGAGGTTCTGAAGGAGCTGTTCCCCAATGATGTCAACAGTCCAACAGGAATCACGTAAGTAACTCATGATATACTTTTGTTATGGGTCAATTTTTGTTTAAAATAAATAAAGAAAGGTTGTCAAACGGTTATGTCAGTCATTTAGTAATAGTGTTTTGGAGGGAATAATTTTCCATCATCTTTGTAGGCCGACCCGGAGGTTAGCATCACTAACTAGCCACTTGTTAGCAAGGTAATTGAAAAAAATACCCATTCAAAAAACCCATGGACTTTGTGATGACGAAACCGGAAGTGCTCAAATTTTCATTGCTGGGTTTTAGGACTCATTCCTGCACCACTTTATAGGACAGAACCAAAGCTTTAACTAGCCGTTTTATTTTATTCTGATTTGTATTTATTTCATTCTAAAATGGAGCAACTGTCACAAAACCCAGTTCCCCCCCGAGATAAAGTATTCATATTCCTTTTCTTCTGCAGTGCCACCTGCCGACGACCCATCAGAGGCGCTGCCCACCGCCCATTGAAGTCCAGTGACCTGTGGAATGGTGATGAAAACAGCATCTTCTCGCCAAAGACCACCAAGACAACCAGCTCCTTCTCATCTTACACACAGAGCTGCACTGATAGCAGAGTCACCAGCTTGCCTATTTCCACTACCTCCACCTCCTCTTTCTCCTCCTCCTCCAGGCTTCTTTCTGCAGCTCCCCCTGCAGGCCATACCAAAACAGCCCCCCGCAGCATGGCCCTGTGGAAGAAGCTGTTCTTGCTGGCTGTTGTGGCTGGTTTCCTGTTCTTGGTTTACCAAGCCATGGAGACCAACATCATCAACCCTTTTGAAGCCTCAGAAACCGAAGTGGCCAGTAGCGGCACAGCGTAGAAAGCACAGATGTGAAAATAGTGTGAATCTGCATTGTAGCCATTTTATTCATGAGCGCTGTGAAATTACCTAACATCTTTGCCCTTATTTCGTCAAGTTTTTTTCCTTTTTTATTTCTTTATCAATATTCAGTGAATCCCTTAAGAGAAGCAATGTAGCAGTTGCATTGACACTGAGAGTAACTCCTTTGCTGACTCCTTTTATTTCCATGTTAATGTTTTTCGTGTGTGTGTGTGATGCGAGTGTGTGTGAGAGTGAGTGAGGGTTTTTCACATTATGCCTTAGTGTATGTCTTTGTTAGTCATTAACAGCCGTGAAGATGGAGTTTGAACCTGTCTTTTTTTTTTCTTACTTGACAGAGGCTTGTTATTATACACCAAATTCCTTTTCAATCTTATTAAACCCTACACAGATATTTTCTTAATGCTCTCCTCTTATAAATTGAATGAACTATTGTATTCTACTTAATTATGTATTCACTGTCAAAAATATTAAATATCAATCCACTCAATAAACTATTATGACTTTACTGTGCCTGCAACAGCTTTTGATTTTATGAAGATGCCATATGCCGTACTGTTAAAACACAGAAAAAAACAATTTAAAGGCAACATAACGTTCACATATTTTTACAATTTAACTGAATTTCTACTCTCAGGCTATCTACTAGTTTCACTATGTCACATCTTTAATTTGTTTGGTTTTAATAAAGAAAAATAATTATAGGAATATTTATTTTGTCATTAGTCCAGTAGTGGTTGCTAACACAGGGTTTGGGACCCCACCAGGTGTCCCAGGGTAAATTGGAGTCCTCCCAAAATATTACATTTGTGATAATAAAAGAAAACCCATTGTTTGACATTAATGGGATAATGGTAAATGCTACAAGAAAATTGTGTGACAGTAGCACAAGTAAAGAGTCATAAGGTTGGTCACCTTTTAGACTCCCAGGCAATCACAGATGTGCTGCCAATATGGAGGGCCACAGCTGATGAGGTCCGATTTTACCAGGTATTTTGGGATAAGTGGGGGGCATTGGCACATTTCAATAGGTGGTACATGGTCTGCATATGTCTTCTGTTATTAGTTTTTCCAGGCTTTCATCTGTGCTTTCCTCCCCCGATTCACACTTCTATTTAAAGACTAACATGTTCGAAAGGCATGCAGTGGGTTTATCTCTTCTACCCAGCCATCAAATAACAATTGAGGAAGTGCCAGTGTACTCATACATGGAAAATGATGTGCACCCATCCTGTAGTAATAACAACCACACCGACCTCAGGAAGATCTACCTTTGTGGTGACATCACTACCATCTCAAGAGGGGTCTTCACTCAGCCGCATTACTGACGACAAGAATAGACACAACTGCCAACAGGTAATCCACTTGTGTTCTTCTCACGGTTTGATCCAAGATTCAAGGCTCTTAATATTAGGTCCCAGGCTCCAACAGTGCAACACAATAAAACAGATAAAATAGTGCAAGTAAATAAAATAGAATATAAGTAGTTGGAGTAAGGAGTCATCTCTGACACACACACAAACATATTTGTAAGATGCATACATGTGTCAATTTACCTGAGATGGAACCGGATGGAACCCTAGAATGACTGAAATAATTCCCAATAGAGAGGCGAAGTCCCTCCCCTTCCGGGAGCCTCCATGGGACCCCGGAAGTGGAAAATTATACATTGAAGTCAATGGAGAGAGAAAGATTATCTTTCGATCCCGTTTGAATTGTGCCACGAATTACACATATGATGTTTGTTAATTTAAAAGATAATTTTGCAAGTCAAAAAAATAATGTGTCGTAAAACTGTGAAGTAACGCATTTGTTTGTGTGAAACGCTCAATGAACTACATCTCTGGTCTCCCACAACAACACACGTCACCAAGATGGCCGTCACTACTGTCTTGTCAACAAAACGATTGACTACCCTCACTATCACCACAATGAAACACGTCCAGAAGAATGTCATGTAAAGCTGCCTGCCTGCCTTCCTTTGATTCTCTCTGAACTGCCTGGTCTTTTTGAAGTAGAAAAGATCGGCGATCGCCGATGCTAGCATTAGCATTTCTCCCCCGGGCTTAAATTGTGTATTATAGAATGATCACACCGGTGACAGTACTCTTCAAAGGGTTCACGAAATAGTACTACTACTCTTACTGTTTAACATGTTGGGTTACTTAATACTTCATATTAAGGCTAATAAAAATGACAAGGCTGTAATGCAAACTAACGTACTAGCTGGGTAGCTAACTTGATCCAGCCACTCCTGGTCCTTTCATCAGACGGGAAGCGAAAGAACGAGCAAGACCCATTGCTGGTATGATAACAACCTGGTACTAAGCACACAGGCATCTTGTTATCTTATCTTAGCCAGCGCCATATAGATAGATTATATGGCGCTGATTTTAGCTATCTCTTAGTGGAGGAAAACAATTGTGACATCACTTACGCGACTCTGGGATTTGTAGTCTTTCTAGTTGCGTATTTTTCATAGTCTTATATTTCAACAGTTTTACGACAAACTGTGACTTTTTTGACATGGAAATTATTTTTTAAGATTGACAAACATCATATGTGTAATTCATGGCACAATTCAAACGGGATCGAAAGATACGTTTTCTCTCTCCATTGACTTCAATACATTATTTTTCCGAAATAAGGTCCCATGGACCGGAAGTAGATGGGCGTGACTTCGCCACTCAAGCACCGCCTTCATTTATCAGAGACCAACGTTGTGATTGGACAAGAGATCTTGATTGGCAGCTCTATAGCCTTTCCTTATTGGACAGAGTAGCGGACGAACCCGCCCAAGGTTGAAGTTGACGTCACGATAGGAAAAATCGGTTTAAAACGAGGTCACTCGTTCTCTCGGAGTCGCCGGTTGCAACTAAGAGGAGGCGCCATCTTAAGATACTGAAAGAGTGAGTGCAATTATTAATCTAAAAGAAGTGCATATGACATATTACATTTCAATTTATTTATGGAGTATGCATTTAACAAAACCGTCACGTTATTGAGCGTTGTTTTGTTTATGCGACTGTCACTTTTTTCTGTTTAGAGAGCTTCAACCTTGGAGCGGTCAAGTTAGCTTAGCATGCGATTTAGCATCAGCTATGCTAGAAAGGGAAGAGAGCCATGCTAAATTACTTGACTTTTAAGATAGCGTTGAGATTTTGACATGCGCGTTACAGAAGCGTGTATTGATGTTAACCTTTATGTACCTGTAGTATTCCCTCTATGTTCATTCAATGAGCTAAATTAAGCATTTCCTGTCCGCTAAGCTAACCAGCACGTGATATCCCTCGGTTCAGGTGTCGATATGTTTCCAGTTACTTCTGCCATTAGCTTTAGGAAGCACAGCTAATTTGTAACTCATTGCAGCTCCGCCAGCAGGCAGGACACCACCATGTACCCCACCGCACTGACGCAGCTGGCCCGGGGCAACCCTTTCAGCTCACCCCTGTTCAACATCCAGAAAGTGGAAGAACCCAAACAGAGCCTCCATGGACAGAGGACACGCACACTGGCAGCAGCAGCCACCTCTGACGGTAAACCCCGCTGCAGAATCCGCGTTAGCTGCAATAGCTTAGCCGACCAGATTCGCCCCGATGCGGCCTACTTCTTTGCGTGATTCAGAGTAGCAACTTTTATATAGCATTATTGCCTTTGTGCATGTTGCAGGTTATTGTTGCAACTCTTGTATTGTTGTTAATGTTGAAGGATGTGTTGAGGGTGTTAGCTCATAGGCCTTTGCTGCGTGTGGAGGACAAGGAAGGACAAAGTGGGATCTTGCTTTTGGACTGAAGCAAAGTGTATTTGACGTGTCGTGCAGATAGTGCATGCACTTTTTCAGGGGAGCATCGGTGATTTAAATTGTAAAGTATTCGAGAAATACGTGTGACCCCTGAGCTACATAGCGGTTGACAAGAACAAATTGTCCTAGCTTGATATATTTATGACTGGTTGTTAAAACCATACCAAACATAACTTCATAAAATCAACTCTGCCCTTTTAGGTCCACAAGGTTTCTGCTAACAAGTTTCCAATTCCCAACGGGCTTCAGCAACAAGTATTGGGCTAATTCACCTTCACTTGTTTAGGTAGTCAATGGCCAACCATTGTTAAAGGATGCTTTGAAGTTGTGCTCTAAAGGTGCATATATCAAACATTTATTGTTTAAAAGCAACAGCTTGAAGATTGATGTCCATGTACATATGCTCTTTTCTTCATTATTTGTCCATTAGGATAAAAGCCAAGCGTATTAATACAATAGCAATTACTGGTTATAACAGTGATTCATTTAAATAGTTTTTGTTATGGGCTTTGTGTACAGACTAAATCATTGGTAGTCAAGTTTAAACCTGTTGCATAAGGGTGAGACTGGCCAAAAAATGTCTTCCTAATGCAGCTTTTAGCTTGTTTGACATCCAGCTTTATTGAAGGCATATAACATAACTCTTAAACCAGTTGATATCTCTAATGTCAGTTCTACACTCAAAGACAATATCATCCTTTCCAAACCCTGAGGTGTTCTGTTATTAAAGTTACACCTGTGTTTCTTCAGAGGGACCAGAGGTTGAGTTCGGCTCTCAGAAGTATTTCCTCCTGTGCGGCTTTGGTGGGATTCTGAGCTGTGGCACCACACACGCAGCTCTCGTTCCACTCGATCTGATCAAATGCAGATTGCAGGTCTGTCCTTGTGACTCGGTGCCCTGTTTTTTTTAACGGCACGCGTCATCCCCCCATGACTGTTTGTCTTTTTGAAAATGCACCAATCTGCATGGAAGAAATGCCGTCGACCCAAATGTGGTGAAGCTTTTTTTTTATCATCATGTATTGATTCCCATGATCCTAATGTGTTGGAGTGATCTTAACATGATTGCATGATTTTGCACCGGTGTTGTACCCGAGCAGCCCCCACTGAGTCAACAGTAGAGGACTTGTAAAGGTCAGGAGTGCCAGACATGAAGGAGAACATGTCATTCTTGCAGACTGTACTCTTTAACCTGGTGGTCTGAATGCAAAGAGAAATTCAGAGAATCTGAATGCAGATATTGGCCGCCACAGTTTGTTAAGACAGTGACTGATTAACTTGTTCTCTGGGGTAAATTATGAAAGTCAAAAGGACATTTGATCAGACAGGCATTATGATGCCTGTGTAATCTGTTTTACATATTTATAGATTTATTGGACCATACTGGTGATATGATACTATATAGCCTAATTATTTTTTTATAAACTAAGTGAAATCAGTGGCTGCAACAAATCTAGAAACCTTTCGTTTGCTTTAGAAAAGGTAAGCAGTTAGTTTATAGTAAATAAACAAAACACTACTGTGGTCCATGAAAGTTCAAACTGAAATCACTTGTTTTCAATGATTTTAATCAACTTTGGTGTGATTTTAATAAATGGTGGCATGTTAGTGGCAGAGCATCACACAATGGAAGAGTCCTGTCACTGAATTCAACAGTTTCTTATTTTATATTAAACTCTTCCATTTTGTGGCTCTGGTTTGGTGTTGATTTTGATCATGTGCTGCATGTTGCATGTATGTGTCCCCCCTCCCTTCCACAGACGTCGTGTTTGGCTCCTCAAAGTACTATGCCCTGTGTGGTTTTGGGGGTATCCTGAGCTGCGGCCTCACACACACAGTAATGGTGCCCCTCGACCTTGTCAAGTGTCGCCTGCAGGTTTGTACAGAAACAACACGTAGCAGCAGCTCCTCCCCCCTCAGCCCCTTGGCTTCATGTATTTCAGTAAAGCACTAGTTGTGCACAACATTGTTAAACGGCATACATTCACTTATACCATACTTTTGTTGGCATTGCTTAATGCATAGGTCCTAATGATGGATTTTCAAACCATGATATATATTTTTTGCTAATATAGTTTCAAATGTCCAAGCACTTAACACACACAAGTAAAACTGTTATTTGTAACTTGTGTTTTGGTCCATACCAATTACTTCCTATCTTATAATCTTAAACAGCGTCAAACTCCAGATTCAAGGATTGCCCACCATGATGACATGCTTCATCACTTTGGATTCTTCTTCTCAGGTGGACCCAGAAAAGTTCAAGAGCATCAGTAACGGCTTCAGATTGACAGTGAAGGAAGATGGTGTCAGGGGACTGGCAAAGGGCTGGGCCCCCACCTTCATCGGCTACTCCATGCAGGGACTCTGCAAGTTTGGCTTCTATGAAGTGTTTAAGGTCTTCTACAGTGACTTGTTGGGAGAGGTGAGTCCAGATACAGCTTTCAACAACACACACCTCCACTCTGTCAAAGAAGAAACAGATTCTACTTTATTTGTATTTGTGATTCAAAGGACCTATTGTGACAAACCATGGCATTGTATAGTTTATCACCAAATGTATGTTTCATATAAAAAGTTGATACATGTACGTTGATATTTGCTACTTGCACATGCAAAAGTATGCTTCCCATATTCTTTAAATACACTTACGGCTGTTTAGCACCACGTACATATATTTGAATGTTCTGCTGGGACCCAAAGGTCTGTATCCCCGTCACACATGTACCAGAACAAGCTTATAGCGCGTTTCCACTGCAGGCCTGGCTCGGTTTGGTTAGGCCTTATTAGGCCCAGCTCACTTTAATGCTGCGCTTCCATTACAGTTTAGGAACTGGGGTAGTTACTATAGTAACGCAGTGTAGGCGGAGCCGTGACGTCATCTTCAATGAGAGCCCCAGAAAAACAACACAACCGTTAGCTGTTAGCTCTCAGAGCTCACAGCTCTTCATATCTGTTCAGAAACTAGACAAAAGTTAAACAAGTACAAACCACAGACTGTCTGTGTCATGGCGAATACAGTCGCTGGTTTATTTATGTCTGTATAGGCCGTTGTTGTGAGTGTGGACGGTCGGAGCATATATAACGTTAGCTTAGCCAAGCTCCATTTAGAAAACACGCATTTTAAAAGTGTTTTTCGCCTGCCGTCTTTCTGCAGACTTGTCAAAGCATTAATTCATGGTTTTTACTAACCGGTATCAGTATGTTGTTACTTCGGCATCATTTTGAAACGTGTATTACAATTAAATCACGGTCAAATATGTTCATCTTGTTGTAGTTGTAGCCCCCTTGCCAGCGATTCTCTCTAGTTTAGCATACTCAGCCCGACTCAGCCTGGTTGTTCCTGGCCCTAGAACCACGATTTAGTCGGGCCAGAAAAACTGTGAATTAGGACCCGCTAGCCGGTACTAGGCCAAGTGGAAAAGCAACCAAAAACGGGCCCCGCACGGCTCGGGACGCTTAAAGCGAGCTACCCGCTGCAGTGGAAACGCGCCATCAGTGTATCATGAGGCTTTGGTCAACACGCTCCTTAGATCCACCTCTGGAGGGGCTCTGAACGGAGCCCCTCGGCAGCTTTCTGGCTGTACAGTTGGAGGTGCTTGAGTCATTGGCGTGTGAGAACAGTCTACCTGTCCCCCAGCCCAACTGCAGCACTGGCAGCCCTGTCCTCTACAGACAGGGAGCCCCCAGTGACGCTAGCCTGGTGGACGGACACTCTGCTCATCTTAAACTAGATGAATGATATGCTTTAGTTGTTTGAATAAAATGTATGTATAAAGTACACCATGTTAAGTAGATTGGTATATTAAAGAGTGTTCTGTATACTAGTGTTTGATACCCCTCTCCATACAGCATGACAAAAAGCCTGTTAAATGATTAAATGGAATAACTTCCAAGGTAGCAGGACGGTGGCTGTTAGTGTATTTAGCTGCTACAAGGACATGTCACCCAAAAAATTAGAGTATTTACTTTTTGTGGCATTCTTCTTTTTTGCTGCGCTTGTGTAAAGGATGGGAATTTTGCAGGGTGTCTGTCTCCTGATCTGTCTGACCATTATTTTTGTGTTCACACCAAACAGGAGAACACCTACCTGTGGAGGACATCGCTGTACCTGGCGGCCTCAGCCAGCGCAGAGTTCTTTGCAGACATTGCTCTGGCTCCCATGGAGGCTGTTAAAGTTCGTATTCAAACCAAGCCAGGCTACGCCAACACCCTCAGAGAGTGTGTCCCCAAGATGTACGCAGAGGAGGGCGTCTGGGCGTAAGTGCTCCAACTTCTTCTCCGCAATCCATTTTGTTATCAGTCACTTGTCAGTGAGGTTGAATGGCTGCCAAGTTATTCCAATATAGGGTGTTTTATTAGGGCTTTAATTATTGACAAATCGATTTGTGATGACAACACGCTCCTTAGATCCACCTCTGGAGGGGCTCTGAACGGAGCCCCTCGGCAGCTTTCTGGCTGTACAGTTGGAGGTGCTTGAGTCATTGGCGTGTGAGAACAGTCTACCTGTCCCCCAGCCCAACTGCAGCACTGGCAGCCCTGTCCTCTACAGACAGGGAGCCCCCAGTGATGCTAGCCTGGTGGACGGACACACTTTATTGTTACTGCACAAAACTAGAAAGCATTCATGTGTGCTTATTTTGAATATCAACATGTAAATCAGGGTTAGGGAGCCTGCCTGAAAAACTGTGAAATGTAAACTGTTCAGTTTGTCTCTGTGTAAAAGAGGTGAGTAAAAAGTGAACAAATCTGAAAGATTTGCACTTAAACTGTTTCCAGATTTATAAACATTCACTTGCCAAATAAACAGTTTTTTAATCTTTTGAACAAACTGAAGGTATAATACTCTTCAGGAGTATTTGTGATTAAGCCACAATTCTGTGCTGGTAACACAGGTGCAACATGTGTAGATTAAAATAAAAACCTTAAAAGCTAGTAATTGAAAAAGCAGCGATTTGGGGAGCATGGCGCCGTAGTTTCTCGAAGCTGAGCCCTGTACAAAAGACATTAAAGTAATTAAAAATGTCCTCGGATGAGATTTTGTAACTTAATCATATGTCATCCTGCCAGCTAAAAAAAATGAGTAATGGTGAACCATCCAATCACTGCAGTGTACCTGTGAATGTTCTCGAATATCAGTCATTGTTTTCCTCTCTGCTAAACCAGACAAACTCAACACGTATGGGTTTGAACCGCAAGGAGAATTCACCGATCACATGTTAACACAGTTTGTCACACATCTCCCATTTCCTATAGTTTCTATAAGGGTGTGGTTCCCCTCTGGATGAGGCAGATCCCCTACACCATGATGAAGTTCTCCTGCTTCGAGCGCACCGTGGAGTTGCTCTACAAGCACGCTGTCCCCAAGCCCCGTAGCGAGTGCACCAAATCTGAACAGCTGGTGGTCACCTTCGTTGCCGGTTATATTGGTGAGTAACGCATCACAAACATCATAATGCTTTGTAAGCTAGAAAAACCAAATTTCTGTCTAGTTAATGAAACGTAACAAATAAGTTGCTTCAAACAATTTTCGGGTATATAAGAATATTTTGACTTGAATTGCTAGGTATTTACATTGATATCAGTCTTGTATAATTCTAGTACATTGATAGTGCATCTGATCTACAGACTGTTCTCTGATGTGTGTTTCTGTTTGCTCTGTGCAGCTGGTGTGTTCTGTGCCATCGTGTCCCACCCTGCTGACTCTGTGGTGTCTGTACTGAACAAGGAGTCAGGCAGCACCGCTACCCAGGTCCTCAAGAAGCTGGGACCCAAAGGTCTGTATCCCCGTCACACATGTACCAGAACTAGCTTAGTGTAACATGAGGCTTTGGTCAACACGCTCCTTAGATCCACCTCTGGAGGGGCTCTGAACGGAGCCCCTCGGCAGCTTTCTGGCTGTACAGTTGGAGGTGCTTGAGTCATTGGCGTGTGAGAACAGTCTACCTGTCCCCCAGCCCAACTGCAGCACTGGCAGCCCTGTCCTCTACAGACAGGGAGCCCCCAGTGACGCTAGCCTGGTGGACGGACACACTGCTCATCTTAAACTAGATGAATAATATGCTTTGTATAAATAAAATGTATAAAGTACACTTGTTTAGTAGATTGGTATATTAAAGAGTATTCTGTATATCAGTGTTTAGATACTCGTCTCCATCCAGCATGATGTATGGATTCATCAATCTGATATTGTGTGTCTCCAGGTGTGTGGAAGGGTCTGGTTGCCCGTATCATCATGATCGGTACTCTGACCGCCCTGCAGTGGTTCATCTACGACTCCGTCAAGGTCTACTTCCGCCTGCCCCGCCCCGCCCCCCCCGAGATGCCAGAGTCTCTGAAGAAGAAGCTCGGCCTCACAGAGTAACCCCCCCACTTTATTCCTCCACTGAGCCACAGGTGACACATCTAAACCCCCCCGCCCAACTTCCACAGTGCACACAGCAGTTTTCTATATTTATGTTTCCCGCCTGCTGCTCTGCACAGGGCTGCTAATAATGTATATTTAAAAACAGAAATCAACAAGGAGAAGATGGAACTGTCGCTCCTGACTTACCGTGAGTCGGACGGACACAATCCTCTGTAGAAACACCATCTGGTTTTATCAATTCCTGTCATTAGAAGATTGTTGACATTCTAATAAAAGAATTTAATTCCCTGGAAAACCCTTGGCTGTCTTTCTTCTTTTCTACGCAAATGTGTTGCATAAATTAGTGTTCCGCCGAATAACGAGCCTTTTTATGGAATAATTAAGGTTGTACAACTGTTTTTAATTAAATATTTTGTAGTCTACCACAAATACATGTGACCCGCTCTATCGAAATCAGTCTGAAGTCGCAACGGCTCATTTCAAAATAAACGTGGATTTGCGTACAAAAATAGTTTTTAGGGGTTTGTGTGTTTTGTTTGATCTTGGCTTTCAGAATATTAAACTTTTATTTCCAAAATCACACGATAAATATATTTTTTAAGCTTGTAAAGGGAAGATGACAGCTCACACTCGCCGCTCTTCCTCAGCGCAGCCCCCCCTCCCTCCGGCTGAAATTATGAATGTAAGGCGTATAGTAATCATAGATAACACGGCAGGGTCCGTTACAGTTTGTTTTCATCTGATTTCAATTAAACAAAGTCTTGGCTTTTAGAATGTTAAACTTGTTTCGCCAAATTCAGATGATAAATACAACTTTGAAGCTTGTAATGGCATAATTACAAGCGGAGAACGAAGTAACTTGATGTCACAGCAGGCATAACAACAAGGCATTTCTCGTGAGTGTTTTCCCCGGGAAACAACACAATACACACAACGCAAAAATACACACACGCATACAGTCGGACAAAAAAGTATTTAGTCAGCCACCAATTGTGCAAGTTCTCCCACTTAAGATGAGAGAGGCCTGTAATTTTCATCCTAGGTACACTTCAACTATGAGAGAAAGAATCCAGGAAATCACATTGTAGGATTTTTAATGAATTAATTGGTAAATTCCTCGGTAAAATAAGTATTTGGTCACCTACCAACAAACAAGATTTCTGGCTCTCACAGACCTGTAACTTCTTCAAGAGCCTCCTCTGTCCTCCACTCGTTAACTGTATTAATGGCACTTGTTTGAACTCGTTATCAGTATAAAAGACACCTGTCCACAACCTCAAACAGTCACACTCCAAACTCCACTATGGCCAAGACCAAAGAGCTGTCAAAGGACACCAGAAACAAAATTGTAGACCTGCACCAGGCTGGGAAGACTGAATCTGCAATAGGTAAGCAGCTTGGTGTGAAGAAATCAACTGTGGGAGCAATTATTAGAAAATGGAAGACATACAAGACCACTGATAATCTCCCTCGATCTGGGGCTCCACGCAAGATCTCACCCCGTGGGGTCAAAATGATCACAAGAACGGTGAGCAAAAATCCCAGAACCACACGGGGGGACCTAGTCAATGACCTGCAGAGAGCTGGGACCAAAGTAACAAAGGCTACCATCAGTAACACACTACGCCACCAGGGACTCAAATCCTGCAGTGCCAGACATGTCCCCCTGCTTAAGCCAGTACATGTCCAGGCCCGTCTGAAGTTTGCTAGAGAGCATTTAGATGATCCAGAAGAGGATTGGGAGAATGTCATATGGTCAGATGAAACCAAAATAGAATATTTTGGTAAAAACTCAACTAGACGTGTTTGGAGGAGAAAGAATGCTGAGTTGCATCCAAAGAACACCATACCTACTGTGAAACATGGGGGTGGAAACATCATGCTTTGGGGCTGTTTTTCTGCAAAGGGACCAGGACGACTGATCCGTGTAAAAGGAAAGAATGAATGGGGCCATGTATCTTGAGATTTTGAGTGACAACCTCCTTCCATCAGCAAGGGCATTGAAGATGAAACGTGGCTGGGTCTTTCAGCATGACAATGATCCCAAACACACCGCCCGGGCAACGAAGGAGTGGCTTCGTAAGAAGCATTTCAAGGTCCTGGAGTGGCCTAGCCAGTCTTCAGATCTCAACCCCATAGAAAATCTTTGGAGGGAGTTGAAAGTCCGTGTTGCCCAGCGACAGCCCCAAAACATCACTGCTCTAGAGGAGATCTGCATGGAGGAATGGGCTAAAATACCAGCAACAGTGTGTGAAAACCTTGTGAAGACTTACAGAAAACGTTTGACCTTTGTCATTGCCAACAAAGGGTATATAACAAAGTATTGAGATGAACTTTTGTTATTGACCA